CATTGTTTCCGATGAGAGATCTGCTGTTAGCCTGATGGGATGTCCTTTGTAGGTAACTTGATGTTTTTCTCTTGCCAATCTTAGTATCTTGTCTTTGTCTGTGGTTTTGGTCAATTTGTCTGTAATGTGTCTTGGAGAAGATCTTGGGTTGATTCTATTTGGGGTCCTTTGTATTTCTTGAGACTGGATCTGTAAGTGCCTCTCTAGGTTTGCAAAGTTTTCTTGCAGGGTTTCATGGGATAGATTATCAATGCCCTTATGAGTCTCTTTGCCTTCTGGGATACCAATTATCTGGATGTTTGGACATTTGATGGTATCTTGCATTTCTCATACATTATTCTCATTTTTTTTGGCAAGTTTCTCAGTCTTTGTGGTAGATTTTTCTAGGCCAGAAATTTTCTCTTTTACATCTGAGATTTGATTTTCCGTATGATCTAGTCTGCTTTTAATACTTTCAAGGGAGATTTTTAATTCCTATATTATAGCCTTCATCTCTAACAAGTACATTTGATTCTTTTTTAAAGTGTGTAGTTTCTCTTTTAGATCTTGCAATAATTTCCTCACCTCCTGGAACTCATCAATTCCTTTCTCCTGCCTCTTTGAAGTTCATGGTCTCTCTTCTCTTCCATCTCTGTTAGATTCATCATTATAAATATTTTAAATTCTTTATCAGACATTTCCATGATTTCTATTGAACTGTCTATGGATGAAGAGGAGTTATTCTTTTCCCAGGGAGGAGAGGTATTTTCTTTCTTTCCAATATTTCTTGTGGCCTTGCGGTGATTTCTGTTCATCTGATGGGTGGTGTGTTTCATTTTAATTCTTGAAGTTCAATCTGAGTGTTCAGGAATGTGTAGAAGGTGATCTGGAATCTCTTTGCTGTTCCATTTTTATCCCTCTGTGCAGCAGATTCAGTGGATATTGATGAATATGTTAACCCTGATAGTATTTTGATGTTTGGCTATTGTTCCCTTAGATCTGTCTAGAAAAACAGTGAATGGATATTGAGGAGCAGAGTGATGAGGTAAAAGAAAAGGAAAAGGAAACAGAGAGAAAAAACAACAAAGAAGGAAAAAAACCCCCCAAAAATATTATTATTTTTTTAAAAAGCAAAAAATAGAAAACCATGTGGCGCAATCACTAGTTCTCAGGAGCATGGAGGAATCTTCTTCCAAAGGCCTGCCCCTTACTTCTCCTGAGTGGGAGAGGGAGAGTGGATTATTAGTGAGATAAAGGCAGGGCTGAAAGCTGAGAAAATACTTTACTTTAAATCATTTAAAAAAGGAATAATTACAAAAAAAGAGGACAGAGACAGAGGTAGAGAGAGAGACAGAGACAGAGAGAAGGATAGAGGGGCTCCCTACCACTTGGATTTGTGGGCTGGAGGCTGAATTATCAGTAGAAAATCTTCATGTCTCTTTTTCCCCTGAAATCACTAGTTCTCAGGAGCCATGGAGGAATCTTCTTCTCTATCTATGGTTTTTTTTTTTTTTTTTTTTTTTTTTTTTCTATCTATGGTTTTTTTTTTTTTTTAAATAAATGCCTTTTATTGTGTTGAGAAATGTCCCTTCTATGCCAATTTTGTTGAGAGTCTTAATCATAAAGAGATGTTGTATTTGATTAAATGCTTTTCTGTGTCAATTGATATGATTGTATGGTTTTCATCTTTCTTTCTGTTAATATGTTGTATTACATTTATGGTTTTGCATATGTTGAATTATTCTTGCATCCTTGAATAAAGTCAGCCTGGTCATGGAGTATAATCTTTTTAATGTGTAATTTTATATGACTTGTTAGTATTTTGTTGAGAATTTTTGCAACTATTCATCAAAGATATTGTTCTGTAGTTTGTATTTTGTCATATCCTTGTTTGTTTTGGTGATGAGGTTGATGGAGGCTTCATATTTGGAAGGGTTCTGCCCTTTTTGATCTTTAGAAGTAGCTTAAGTAGAATGGGAGATAGCTCTTCTTTAAAGGTTTTGTAGAATTCAGAAGTGAAATCATCGAGACCTGGGCTCTTCTTTATATACCACTGATTTGATTTCATTGTTATTGGTTTACTCAGGCTTTCTATGTCTTCTTGATTCGTCTCGGTAGCTTATGTATCCAGAAGCTTGTCCATCTCATTCTGGTTGTTCTTGTTTTTTGGTAGATAGTCACTCACAATTTTTTCAAATGATCTTTTGTATTTCTGTTATATCTGTTGTAATATTTTCTATTTAATTGCAAATTTGATTTATCTGGTTCCTTCCTCTTTTCTTCTTAATTAGTCTAGCTAACAGTGTGTCAATTTTATCAAAGAATCAGCTTTTGGTTTCATTTATTGTCTGTATAGATCATTTATGCTCTAGTTTATTTATTTCTGCTCAAATCTCTGTTATTTCTTTTTCCCTGGCATTTATTTTTGTTTGTTTTTTCAGTTCCCTGAGGTGTGTTGTATATTTGCCACCCCCTGGCATTTTTTGTTTGTTTGTTTGTCTGTTTTTCCAGTTCCCTGAGGTGTGTTGTATATTTGCCACATTTCCATGTTTTTCTTATGTACACTAATTGCTACAAACTTTTCTCTTATGATTGCTTTCCTTGTGTCATGGGAAACTCATGTACTCATTATTATTAATTTCAATGAATCTTTTGAGTTCAGTCTTAGTTTTTTCAGTGGTTTTAAAGTCATTCAGGAGTAGATTGTTGAGTTTCCATGTTTGTGTATTTTGAAGAATCTTTTCTGAAATTAATTTCAAATTTAATTCCATAGTGCTAAGAGAAGATGCTGGCTATAGCTTCTATGCTTTTGACTCTGTAAAGACTTGTTATGTTCCCTATTATGTAATCAGTCTTCAAAACGTTTCCATATAGGGAATATGTGTTTTGTGTTTGTTGGGTGGAAAGTTCTATAGATGTCTACCAAATCCATTTCCTTTGTGGTGTCATTGAGATCCTGCATCTCTGCTTATTTTTTGTCTAGATAATCTGTCCAAAAAAGATAGCTGGGTGTTGAAATTCCCAATGATTAGTGTGTTGCAGTCTATCTCACCTTGTAGCTCTGCTGGTCTTTCCTTCATGTATTTGGGTCCTCCTGATTTGGGAGTCTAGATATTTATAAGTGTTACATTTTTTTGGTGAATGAACCATTTTAGTTCTACTCCTTCTTTGTCTCTTTTTACAACTTTTGTCTTAAAGCTTATTTTGTCTGATATTACCACCCCAGCCTTTTTTGTTTTCTATTGGCATAAAATATCTTTTCCATCCCTCCAATTTTAGTCTATGTTTGTCTTTATCCATGAGGTGCATTTCCTGTACGCAGCAAATTGAAGTTTTTTTTTTTTAATCCATTTAGCCAGTCTGTGTCTTTCCATAGGAGTATTTAATACATTAACATTCTATGTTGTTATTGATATTTGAGCACTTGTCGCTGTTATTTTGTTAGCCATTTTATTGGTTGGTTTTTGTTTTCTTATTTCTGTCTGTTCCTATTTAGTTTTCTTGATGTAGTACTCCCTTTATTACTTCTTGATGAACTGGTCTGTTTTTGGTGAATTCTTTCAACTTTTATTTGTCTGAGAATGAATTTATTTGTTTCTCCCATTTAAAGGACAATCTTGTCAGGTATAGTATTCTTGGTTGAAATAATTTTTCTTTTAATATTTTGAATATGCCTTTTTATTTTTTCTTGCCTGCTTGGTTTTGGTTGAGAGTTCTGATATTAGCCTAATAAGATAAACTTTCCAAGTAATTTAACATTTCTCTCTTGTCATTTTTACAATCTTGCTTTTGTCTGTGATATTTACCAATCTAAGATTTGTGGTGGATATCCTCATTTTAAAATAAAAAAATTTTTTTTTGGTGAGTTTATCTAAGTCAAAGGTTTCTTCTTCCAACTCAGAGAGTCTGTCTTATGCATGGTACAATCTGCTATTAATACTTTTGAGGGAGATTTAATTTCATGTAATACCGTCTTCATCTCTAGAAGTGTTGATTGGTTCTTTTTTATTGTGTTTACCTCCTTCAATTTTTGAAAAGATTGTCTCATTCCTGTCACCATGAATATTCTGAATTCTTTTTCTTACATTCCTGTGAGTTCTTTTATATTGTTTATGATTGAAGAAGACGTGCTGTGTTTCACTGAGGGAGAGTTTTTTTCATATTTTTTGCGACTCTGTTCTTGTTTCTAGTCATTGAATGAATTATATACTTTTTTTCTACTTTTCTGGTGTTGATTCTAAAGTGTCAGGAGGGAGGAAAATCCTCTACTTCTCAGACATGTTCTTGGTAGAGTACCTTGTCTCCTTATCAGAGAAGTGTGTATATAGCTGATTATTTTTTACATCTCTTTGAGATATAATTGATATACAAGAAACTACACATTAATGTGTATATCTGAAGAGTGTATGTATTATGGAACAGACATGATATTATCACCACAATTAAAATGAGAGGAACTAGTATTTATTTATCTGCTTCTATTCTTTTTCCATCTTTGCAACACTGAAATTTTTGTCTTTCAGTACCCTATAGTCATTACTTATGCAGTGTCTGGAACATGTGAATTACTCAAATGCAAGAAATAATTTCTTACTAAAACTCTAGAATACCTGAATCTTGAGGGCCAGTCACAGAATGGGAAAGAAATCCTAATCAGCAATAGCAATAGGGAAGCCCTATCCATAAACAAATGATAGAAATGAATTTCTTGACTATAATTTATAAATTATGGAATTTTAACTATATCTGAAATGCATATTGATTTGAAAATTGCTCTCCTTTTAAAGTGTTTTGTTCTATTTTATTTTGTTTCCCTTTCCTAGTCACACTCACCACATGGAATCAGAGAACAATGCAACAATTTTAGAATTTATTCTTCTGGGATTTTCAGAGGAGCCAGAATTGCAGCCCTTCATATTTGGGATTTTCCTCTCCATGTATCTGATCACTGCATGTGGAAATCTGCTCATCATCCTGGCCACCATCTCAGACTCCCGTCTGCACATGCCCATGTATTTCTTCCTCTCCAACTTGTCCTTTGTAGACATCTGTTTCACCTCCACCATCGTTCCAAAGATGCTAGTAAATATACACACACAGAGAAAACCCATAACCTCTAAAGGCTGCATCACCCAGATGTATTTTTTTCTACTCTTTGTAGGATTGGACAACTTCCTCCTTAGCGTGATGGCCTATGATCGGTTTGTGGCCATCTGTCACCCCTTGCACTATATAGCCATCATGAACCCTTGGCTATGTGGAAAGCTGGTTCTGGCATCCGGGATCATGAGTGCCCTTTATTCCTTGTTACATAGCTTAATGGTATTGAAGTTGTCATTTTGTACACACCTGGAAATCCCCCACTTTTTCTGTGACCTTAATCAAGTGGTCCATCTTGCCTGTTCAGACACCTTTCTGAATGATATGGTTATATATTTTGGAACTGTGCTGATAGCTGGAGGTCCTCTTACTGGTATCATTTATTCTTATTCTAAGATAGTTTTCTCCATATATAGAATCTCATCAACTCAAGGGAGGTATAAAGCATTTTCCACCTGTGCCTCTCACCTCTCAGTTGTGTCCTTATTTTATGGTACTGGTTTTAGTGTGTACCTTAGTGCTGGTGCTGCCCACAGCTCACACTCAAATGCAACAGCTTCTGTGATGTACACTGTGGTCACCCCCATGCTAAACCCCTTCATCTATAGTCTGAGGAATAAGGATATAAAGAGAGCTTTGAAAAGATTCTTTGCAGGGAAAATTAGAAAAGGGCAACTAACTCTATGACCTAAAAAGTGCCCACGATTGCATGGCTCAAAACCTCAGAGACAAAAAAGTTTGATTTTTTTTTTTTTTTTTTTTGCTCTCCAGAGAAAGAAAGCTAGAGATGGAGAGGAGAAATGACCCTTTTGAGGGGGCTGTTAATTCCACAATTCTTTCTCTTCCATTTCTCCCTTTTCTCTGGACTTTGGGAATCCTTGCAGATGTATCTGGCATGTTTTTCAAGCTGCTAGATCTAGGATTCAAACTCTGTACTCAGCCATATGTGATCTGGCTGCCTCAACTACCAGGTCACAGAGCCAACCCCAAATTATGATTATTTAATAATCTTGTGGAAATAAAACTTCATGGTTCTATTTATTGTCTGTAGTACCCATTACTTTGATTGCAATCTCTACAGAATTTAAGTAACCCCTTCACTAAGGTGTCTGCTGTGGTCTTTGATACCCAACAGTTTGTCCTTCAGTCATTTTCTTTCTTTTCCAAAGTTATTCTCAACCTTGCATCAGAATCATTTATATATCCCTTGGGAACCAGCAGTTAGCGTAATGGCTATGTCGCTGGACTCCCATGTAGTCGACCGCGGTTCGCGTCTTGAACCCGGTGGCTTAAAACTCACACCGGGCGCGTGTGTGTGCATGCCCAAGATCCTGAGAGGAGCATGGAGGAGAGGGGATTGCAGCGTGACCATCCCCTGTGGGGGGTGATTTATCGCTTTCTGTCTCTATGTCTCTCTCTGTCTGTCTGGCGAGCACACGTGCCCTATAGTGCAAATCTCTCCAAAAAGAAAAAAAAAAGAATCATTTATATATCCCCATTTATTTCATGGGACAACATGGAATTTTAAGTATAATTTCTTCTCAAATGACACAGATTATCCCAAGTAATTTTGTTTGTTGCTTTACTAAAAAAAGTAGTAACAAGTACTATGTCTATGGAAAATATTATACTTGGCAGCCAAACCATTCTCTGTTTTAGAAGAGGGAAATCTGACAGCAGTGTTTCACTTTTTTTGTCAGTTCTTCATCATATATTAGTCGTTTAACTGCTCTTCTTGGTAATGTGAAGTTTTGTATGTTGGTATGTTCATAACTGGTCATTTTTTTTTTCTTGGAGAGGTTTTCGCTATAGGGCACGTGCCCTCGCCAGCCAGCCAGACAGAGACAGAGAGACAGAAAGCAAGAAATCACCCCCCAAGGGGGATGGCCACACCACAATCCCTCCTCCTCCGTTCTCCTCTCAGGATCTTGGGCACGCACGCACACGCGCCCGGTGTGTTTTAAGCCACTGGGTCCAGGATGCGAACTGCGGTCAACTACATGGGAGTCCAGCGACATAGCCATTACGCTAACTGCTGGTCTCAATAACTGGTCATTTTTGGGGAGTCATTTTTAAGATTCTGTTTCTGCGTTAGCTCTGTGTTTACAGTATCTACTTTAGTCACTGGCTATACTGGCCCCAGCAATTTTGATTGCACTTTTTTTCCTAAGCAGATATTGTTGTACTCTATAAAATATTTTTAAATGTTAATATTGTATTCATGATAAATAAAGATCAGGAACTGGGAAGGCAGGGAGGCAGATATGACTCTAAATGGAAACTTCCAATTCTTACACTAATGGAACTGTTGTATATTTTGACTGCTATCAATGTTCATCTCCTGGTTGTGATATTGTACAGTGATTTTGCAACATGTTATCATTGGCAAATGGAATAAATGACACATGGATATCCCTGTATTATTTCCTACAAATACATATTAATCTACAACTGTCCAAGTTAAAAGTTTAATTAGACATTAATAAAGAAGGTTTAAAAATACATAAAAACATTTTCTTTATGGTTGAAAATTTGACATCTTTTCTTTTTATCCTTGAACTCATATTTCCTTTGCACTCTTCCCGGTGCTAGAAATTGGTAAGATCTTGATGGACTTCCACTCAAAGTTCATCTCTGACTCAGTTCATGTCTTAACTGTCTGAGCCCCAGTGTGCAAGTGTAGAATGAATCTGCTAATACTACGACCTTATAGAATGGAAATGTCCGGACCAGCAGTTAGCGTAATGGTTATGTCACTGGACTCCCACGTAGTCGTCTGTGGTTCACATCCTGGACCTGGTGGCTTAAAAGTCATGCTGGGCGCATGTGTGGGCGTTCCCAAGATCCTGAGAGGAGAATGGAGGAGAAGGGATTGAGGCATGGCCATCCCCCTGGGGAGTGATTTCTCTCTTTCTGTCTCTCTGTCTCTCTCTGTCTGGCAAGCACACGTGCCCTATAGCAAAAACCTCTCCAAAAAAAAAAAAAAGAATGGAAATGTCAAAAAATTAAACGAGAAAAATTATATAATATCTTATACTATTTAACAGTGCATAAAAATTACAATTATCGAGGGACCAGCAGTTAGTGCAATGGCTATGTCACTGGACTCCCACATAGTCGACATAGTTCGCATCCTGGACCCGGTGGATTAAAACTCACGCCTGGCACGTGTGCGTGCATGCACAAGATCCCGAGAGGAGAATGGAGGAGAAGGGATTGCGGCGTGACCATCCCCCCTGGGGGGTGATTTCTCACTTTTGATCTCTCTATCTCTCTCTGTCTGTCTGGCGAGCGCATGTGCCCTATAGTGAAAACCTCTCCAAAAAAATTACAATTATCAAATGTTGTATAAAGAAGAGGCTAAATGACCATTCTTAATTTGTATTACAAGCATAAAATTCCTACATGTGCATCAAAAGTCTTATGAACCAAAGGATTATACTAAATACACGTGGTTTATAGCACGTGACAATAATTGTCTCTCTTGTTGAAGAGGGAATACTAATTTTGTGAACTTATCTTCAGCTGCCAATAGTTTGAAAAGCCAATGAACTAACAAAAATAGACTCCTTAGTCTTAGGTTATGAAGAAAATGTTAATTTCGGATTGGCAACAGGCACTGAGTTTAGACCTCTGGAGGCAGGAAAGTCCACAGAGAATAAATAAAGAATGGATTCACCTGACTTCTTTTCTTTTCTTTTTTTTTTTTTTTTTTGAGAGATTTTCGCTATAGGGCACGTGTGCTTGCCAGACAGACAGAGACAGAGAGACAGAAAGTGAGAAATCAACCCCCAGGGGGGATGGTCATGCCGCAATCCCTTCTCCTCCATTCTCCTCTCAGGATCTTGGGCACGCACGCACATGCGCCCGGCGTGAGTTTTAAGCCACCGGGTCTGGGATGTGAACCACAGTCGACTACGTGGGAGTCCAGTGACATAGCCATTACACTAACTGCTGGTTCCCATGGATTCACCTGACTTCTAACCTGACCTTTTGAGAATAATCAGCAGGGAAAATATTTTTGATGAGATTAATACATGAATATAATGCATTTATACTGGGAAAATTTATTTTGTATGTTGTAAAGATATACAGTGATTTTATGTAAAAAAATTACATCACTACCCTCCCTCCTTCCCCAAAATCTTTAATTATTATCTAATATGAATTTATGAAGAGCTAGACTATTTGAGTCATCCTCTACCTAGCATTTTCTTTTGGGGGGCGGATAAAATCACAGAAAGGCAAGGCTAGCAGGTGGCATGGCAGTTTAGGTGCTTAACTCCCACATGGTCAAGCATGTTTCATCCAGGTTGTTGGCTTGAAAATCACACTGGGCATGTGTGCATGCATGCCCAAAATCTCAGGAGGAGAATGGGGAAGAGAAGAGATTGTGGCATGGCTATTCCCCACTGAGTGAGGGTGATTTCTCACTTCCCTCTCAACTGTTTTTTTGCCTTTCTCCTCTCTGGTAAGCTCACAAGCCTTATGGCAAAAACCTTAAAAAATCACAGAATGGTAATTAAAATAATTGAGGGATTTCTCATCAATAAAATAAGTGCTTTGTCTATTTGCAATAAATCAGAAAATTTAATGTCATTTAAATATCATAATTAAATATTTATTTTGATATCAAAATTAAATATTCATTATTTAAAAATATAATTTCTATTTTAAAAATTAAAATAAAAAATATATATTCCTTTCTTTCAAGACCAGTGTCCCTACAGGAACCAGGCACTAAGGGGCTGGAGTAACAAGAAGGATATGTGTCTAATGAGCAGATATAGGGAGCTGCGAATTTCTCTTCTGTTGTTGTCTCTCAGGATGTACAAATTCAGGTTGAATGGAACATGTTTGATTCTTTGGTAGTCCTATGTCTGACTAGGATATCAACACGTTTCCTCCCTACTCTACTTTTGGGGGATAGAGCTCCAGTCTCTATCTTCCACTACCCAGGGAGGAATTTGCACTTCCACAGGAAGACCTTTCTCTCAGACCCCATGCAGGTGAGTTTGAGAGCCTAGAAGGAAAGGTTTAGAGAATATAAAATCCTGCTTTTACCCAAGGTCACTTGAGAGCCAAAGCAGTTCAGCACAAGCCAAGAGATAGATGTGTTTGGAGGTTTTGATGGGCTAATTTATGTATAATTAATCTATTTGTTAAAAACAGGTGTGTCTGTTAGACTGAGTAATGCAAATATTTATTGTTGACAATTAAATAAAAGGAATTAGAATTAGGTGAAATTGAAGAAGAAATGAGAGACAAAAAAGGTTCTAGTAAAATGAAAACACCTGCATAAAGTTTTTTAGTTAAAGCAGCAGGAATTTTTTTTTACTGTCAATGAATGTGCAATAAATTTAGCCTTTTAATTTTAACTTTAAAGATGGGTGCATTATTACTTGCTTCTGTATTTATTAGAAAGATCCAGAAAAATGTATTTCTTGTAAACATTACTTTAATGTCAGCATCCACCTTTGGAGGTTGGTCCTGTGAAGGAAAAATGTTAGAGGAAAGAAAGAAGATGCAGAAGCAGAGATGCAGGTGAACACAGACAAGCTGTACTGCTCAGTCATCTGAGCTCTTTATTTATACATTTTTCCAGGCACAGTGAACTGTTTGCAAGCTTTCAAGGATGCAGTTGAAGTTCTACACTTAGAGATAAGGGCTTTAAAATAAATAAGTAA